TATATGGGATGATAAAATATTTTTTTCAGATTTAAATCTTTATATAATTTATTATCAATATAAAATTGAATTTCCTAAAATTCAATCACAAATAATTAATGGTTATATAAATTTTGATGAAAATTTTCTTACAATTAATCTTGGTCAATTATTTATTGAAAATCATTCAATATATCAATTTATTTCATTTAATTTAATATCAAATAAATTTTTTTTTCTAAAACAATTATCAAATAATCAAACAGAACTTTATTTTAAATCTTTTCATCAAACATCTTCTATTGAATATCAAATTCATTTAACTATTATGGCTATAAAAGAATCAATACCTGGAATTACTTTTCATAATAATAATAATAATACAAAAATTTTCTTTCCATCAACAGAAAAATTTCAAACAATTAATATTCATCTTTGGCCTATTTATCGTCAAATGTTAGAACAAACAATATCATTAATAATAAATATTAATCCTAATATAACATATGAACAATTTATTATTTATAATTTACCAATTGTACGTCAAACTTTAGCTCAAATTATTGATGTAAATATACAATATGTTCATATTTATACATATGAATTAAAACAAAATCACATTGAATTACTTATTGCTATATTACATTCAACATCACAACGTTATATACATAAAGAAATACTTTATAATAAATTAAAAAATTCAACAAATATTTTTGATAAAATTCTTTTTAATCAATGTCAATCAAATTCATGTGAAAATAATGGTAATTGTACAAGTTATATAAGTTTATTATATAATCAATATAAATATATTTATTATAATATATATCAACGTTTAATACCAAAATATCAATGGAATATAAAATGTTTATGTAAGAATTATTATTATGGAGAACGTTGTCAATTTAAATATACTAAGCAATCACCATGTTTATCAAATCCTTGTTCATCAATGGAAAAATGTATTGAAGAAAATTCAACATTATATTCATGTCAATGTATAGATAAATTATGTAATTATAATAATATTCTTAAAGAAAATTCATTTCAATGCATCAATATCAATTCACCAACATGTCGTGGTGAGTTTTATTCGATAAATCTTTATCTGAATACAATATCCCAATGCATATATATATATTGATATAAAAGATATGTCGGTGTTGAATATAAAATGCAGAAACATAAAATTGTTATACACTCACTGAGAATGGATAATTTTCAACGGGTTCGAAGTTTTCCATGTGGAATTAACTTAGGTGTAATAGTAGCGAAATCAGGATTTTGATAATGGGACGGTACCTGGTGGAAGGATTAATGGCAGAGTTCAATTGGTGTAGCTTCGATCAATGAAAAAACTCAGAGCTCCTAGTACTCATCGCCTTAGTTACGCTACTAAGGTGTGGGTTATAAAAATCTTTATACCTGCGCACTAGATATGCACTAGTCTCAATCCCAGTGGGTACCATTCCGGTTGAATACCAGTCTGATTTAGTACTGTTTTGATTGAGTATCAGTTTTGAAGTCAACTCTGATGAATGCATTCATCATAAAAAGAAATTTAAAATACGTTCAAAGGTATTCAGTTTTAAAAGTTTTTCGTTCAAATAGGAAAAGTCGTAGTCGTACGCTTCAACACTATTTGAACCGAATGGATAGGTGTTAATTAATCAATACTCAAACGATTAGCTATTTCCTAATCATCACTATGGTATCGACAATGTAAACAAATATGTGACATTTTTCTTTTGATTAAGATCTTATAACAACTAATCACTTGGTTTTTATTTTTGTCATTATTGTAAAGTAAATGAAATATTTGCAAAACTCAGTAAAATTTGACAAGTAACTGAATGTTATAACATTAGAAAAACACGACCATTATATAAATTCTAATGACTATTAAAGCCCGTCGGCTCCGAATTTAAACTGTGGTCCTAATTTTAATGACATTTTTTAATTTAAATCTTTAAGTCGCTCCCAAAATGCAAAGTACTTTTTATCGATTATTTGTCTCCTTCTACTAAAACATTCCTCAGACAATCTTGATGATGACCTGATAATAATCAATTCATCATAATTTGCTGTTACTTTTAGAGTATAATTCAATAAATTTCTTGTCAATTTAATTTTATTGATTTGTTTAGATTCATCGAATACATTAACTTTCAATGGTTATAGTTTAATTCGAATGAATATAACCATGAATATGATACAACAAATAAAAATAACATTAAGTTTTCGTACACAATCAATTGAAGGTAAATTATTTAAATTAATTTATTTCAATGAAAAAATTAAAATAATTCTACAAATTATTGATGGTTATATTAATATGAAATTTAATGAAAAAATTCTTTTACAATTAAATCAAACATTAATTAATGATGGTCTATGGCATGATATTTATTTTTCAATAGATTATATTCATAATTATTATCTTCTTCGACTTGATCATATATTTAGTAATAAAATAATTTTATTAAAACAAATTCATTCAAATAATCTTAAACAATTAATAATTGGTAGTGATTTTAAAGGTTGTTTAGGTAATCTAACATTAAATAATCAAATGATATTTCTTCAACAACAAAAATATAATAATAATAATAATAATTCAATCGAATTTATTGATACAAATAATGGTTGTTTATTATCGGAAATTATTCAAGAATATCCTAATAATGATGATTTTTGTTCATTATATCATCCATGTTATCATGGTGGAATATGTATAAATCATGGATTAAATTTTACATGTAATTGTTCAAAACCACGTTTTACTGGTCATCAATGTCAATTAGATTTATATCCTTGTGAAAGTTATCCATGTCAATTTCATGAAAAATGTATACCATTATTATCAAATTCTAATCAATTATTTACATGTGTTATATTACTTGAATCTTTATCAATATCAATAAAAAAATATTTATATATTGGATTAATTATTCCATTATTTATATATATTTTATTAATATTAATTATTTATTATCGTCAAAAACGAAAAGAAAATTTTATTAAAACTAAATCATTCGTTTCAGCACCATTACTTATTCATAAACGATCATCAATAACAGATCGTATTGAAAATCCAAGACAAACATTACATAAATTAAATTATAATGGAAAACCAACAATTGAAACTATAACATTTGCAGATAATAATCATAAAAATTCAATAATAAATTATTTAAATAATAGAGTAAGATCAAAGATTATTATTGAGAGAAATTTAGATTAAACTTATCTTTTCGAATAATCCTACTTATATACAGTGTTGCATATAGGGGATGTACCGAGCAGCTCAGGCTTGGACTCAGCCAGAGCCTAAACGAGTCTAACCGAATCCGATCCAACCGAATTGAACCTTACTGAACTTGGCTGAACTTTACCGAGTCCAGCTACTGAGACTCGGCCCGTACCTAGTTGTGTAAGGCAGTTATTTTCCTTAGAGTTGGACATGCTATCACACGGGTAATCTGAGACAAACAGCTGTTAGTAATTTGTCTAGTGTCATTTTATTACTAGTAATACCAATGTTTGAACACAGTACTTTGTGAATACGTGTCGAACAATGTAGCCATTCAGTCATAGCTACCCTTTAGAGTTGACAAGCTTCAAGAAGCATGGCCGAAATTTTGAAACTTTATTTTCTTACCAAAGTTTTCCAAAGAAATCATAGAGCGAATTATATCGACCTAATTCAACCCTGAAAATATACTTAGGACACATCAAAACTTCTAGCCACGACGTTTAAACGATCTGTTCGGATAAGAGAACCTATTGAGAAATGAAAAACCAAATATCCAATGTAGTAGAGCTTTTTAAGAATCGTCGAATAGTATATAGTAAATCTTGTTTGCATAGGACTCTGAAGGATCTAGAGTCAATTTACTGATAGACAACTATACATCCACATCCAAGCATGATAAGTTTCTGAATATTGTGGTCCTTGGTATTAGTCGAAAATATTTGTAAAAAATTTTTTCTCACATACGATTTTGTAGAGTTTTTGACGGGCTACAACTTTCTATATGTAGATTGACTCTAAATCCTTCAGAGTCTTATGAAAACAAGATTTACTATATATCATTGGACGCGTCTCAAAAAGCTCTACACCATCGGATATTTGGTTTGTCATTTCTCAATAGGCTTTCTTATTTAAAAAGATCCTTTAAACCCTGTGGCCAGAACTTTTGGTATGTCCTATGTAGATATTATTTCTATATATTTTTCATAATAAGATGAATCTATAGATCCTATCCAATGTCAAACTAGGAATTGTATTCCTTCAATTGAATGTGTAACAATGAATTTTAGCTACATATCATAGATATTTTATCTAGATACTTGTAGCAGTATTGCTTAGTTTGTATTATTTATTATATAATAATGTACAGAAATTTGAATAAAATTCGGCATGCCCTCTATCTTATTAAATGAGTTTTGGTTAAAATTAAATTGTAAAATTTCTAATTTTATTTCGTTTTTCGATAGAATAATCATCAAGCATACAAATCGTTAAATCGTCGTTCAGTAAGTTAAATCACATTAAAATAAATATGAACATATTTTTATATAGAATAATTCAAAATATTATGCAACTACTGAACAAATGCCTATACGATCAGATGATTTTCTTGTTCATGATAATTCAACTGGTTATGGTTGATAACTATTGGGTCTATTTTTATAAATATATTTTTTATTTTTTTTTTTTTAGATAACACATATATTCCACTAACAACAGAATTATTTGATTGTAAGTTATTTCATTAAATTATTAATATATTTTATTCTTTATATATTTTAGTTTCATTATCACCGACGCGTAAGTTTTATTTTCTTTGATTTATTAATAAAATGTTCTATATTAAAACAGAATATTTCAATATTCATAAGACACATAATCATATAAATTATCAAATACGTTTAAATTCCTTATCTGATTTAACAGAAAATGATCTTGATTTAACTGAATCATCAAATACATCTTCAATAACAAACCGAGATCGTAAATATTCTTGTCATACTAATCATAAGAATATATCTACATCAATATCATCATTACCAAAAGTACCTATCTATGCAAGAATCGTCAAGAGTACGTGTAAATCACTGAACAAAAAAAAAAATCATCATTGAAAAATTCTATTTTCATAGCACCTAGAGTAACAAATACGACTATCAATACTACCGAACGTAATCGATTAAGTAGTTCATTCACTTCAGCTGCAACATCACTTCTACAACCAATCGAAAACGATGGTATTGAAACAAATGAATCAACAATGAAAGTAATACCAATAAATCATTTAAGACAAACAAGTGATTCTAATGTTCAAAATAATAGCAAAAAATCAAATAAATTATCTTCTTTCTTTCAAACTGATGTATAATTTAGAAAATAAAAACATAGTATCTTGGTGTTTTTTTTTCTATCTCACTTTGGTCCGGTGATATTCTTTCGATATTTACTATGAATTATTAAACGAATAAATATTTATCAATCAGTATTTTTCACTTTTATTTTTTTCTCAATATGGTTAAAACAATATGGTATGTTGCAATTGTAGCATAGGTCCGAGTTAGATATTGGCAAGATAATCACGACAGGACCAACACTTTTGTGAAACTCATATATATTTTCGAAGAAAATATAGTGGGTAGAAATTTAAACCAATTTTTTTTTGAGGCTCTTCTCTAGGTCCTAACAACCGACGGAGGGTACATCCACCTAACAGTGGGAAAAGTTGCGTCAGTAATAACAGTACTTAAATCATTCTATGAATCTAGGATTTCTACTGTTGTAAATTCTAACTAGACTAAATATTGCGGGTTTTCGTATTTAATGTAGCGAAAGGATCTTATTATATGTGTCAATCAGTAGGGTGATGTCATTATTGATCTAGCAGAGTCATGATAGAATAGACATAGAAAAGTATGAACAAATTGAATTCTAAGGTTAGGTAAAAGTCAACAGTAAATGCCAAAGTTCGTCGAGAGAAAGAATGGTGTGCTCGAAGATTAAATCAATGTATGTAGCAGACCGATATATGGTGGTTGAACCGATGAAAGAAACAATAAAATGATATTTATCGCCTTCTATGGCACGTATCGTCTATTTTATCACTCGGAGAAAAGTTATATTTGACAATACAAGTTTTTTCATTATAATGACGTAAGATTTTAATTACAATAAAATGAGGATATCGAATTCTACTTGATCGTGGTAGATGGGCTTCAATATATATTCAACTTAGAGTGAGAAATAATAACATAGGATAAAATTACTATCATGAAAAATACTTGAAATATATAAACGAACATATTCTTTTTTATTTACAGAATTAATTCGTTCATTTTTTATTTTCACATCCGATTGAATTATTTTGACAAAAAATTCAGCACAAAAACGTTTATTAAAAATATTAATCGGTCTAACATACAAAAATAAATTTCGAAACAATTGATTTAAATATGTTTACTTTTTTATATCACAAAAAAGTGTGAATACAGATTTAATCAAAAAATATTATGTCCAAAAAATAAAGTTAAGAATGTGTTAATTCTATTTTTCAAAGTAAATATAACATTTTTCTCATTTTTCAAATAAGATATAAAAAAAAATTCACTAAAAATAAAAAACAAGAACGATCTTTTTTTTGTTTTGTTATCGCAAATTAAGAAGTGGTACAAAATGATTAGGCATCCAATCTTGTTTCTTAGGTGCAAATTTTGTCAGTTTGTTACAATTTGAAAAAAGAAGTTTTACATCTCTTACTGCTATTGTTTCTAGTTTTAATTGTTTATTATTTATTGTTTCTTGACTTATTAATGGTTTAAATCTTATACTATTAAGTAATTTATAATTCATATCATCATCACCATTAACTTTAGGATAAATACTTATAACATCAATATTAAGTACAGTTGGTATACTTAGAAGATCCCAAATAGTTGCAAAATGTGTATCATGTACCATTTCTTTTAGAACATATTGTTCAAAATTATCAAGAAGAACTTCTAATGATTTATATTTAATTTTATATTCATTTGTACGAAGAACAAGTTCAACTACATTTCGAGCGCGAAGTTCAACAGGTGTAACCGACGATGCTTCAGTTGTTGTACCAGCTCCACTTAATTTAAGAAATGTATTATAAAAACAATTTCCATCACCAACAATAGCCATTGGCATTGTATCACGAAATTGTTTATCACAGTGATTTTGTAAATAATATTCAGCGGCAGAATCACGTTTATGAATACTTTGATCAAATTTTTGTACTGGTGTATATATAAGTGGATAATAATATAATATTGGTTTTAATAATCTACATGCTTTCTCAAGTTCATGAAATGATGTTTCAGCAGCAATACATAATCGTTGTAAAAATTTATCAAATATATCCGAACGTGCTAATTTTGAACACGTAATACATAAATGTTCACGATTAGCTGGTATTTGTTGTTCATTACAAAGAATACAAATACGTATTGAATTTAATGTTGATTGTGATGTTATTCGAAAGCGAGTTCTTTCATCAACAGTAGTTGTAGTAGTAGTAGCGGCTTGATTGATTTTTTGTGAATATTCAGTCCATCCTTGAACAAAAGCATCATAGATTGGACGTTCATATAAAACAAATCGAACATCTTTAACATTACATGAATATTGTCGTACTGATTCAATACCAACTTGTACTGCTTCTTGTGGAGGAAAATGATTTGCTCCACATGATATAGCCGGATAAGCAATTGATGTTAATGAATATAGATTAGCTAATGCAAATGATGTAGAATAACATGATTGTAAAAGAAAAGCAGCTTTTTCTTTTTCTTCTTTATGATAAACTGGACCTACAGTATTTATAACAAAAAGAGCTACTTTTGAATTATCACGATTTTTTGCAACAAATATTCGTGATTGTCCAACAGGACATGCAATATCTTGCATTTCTTGGCTAACTGCTTGCACTTGATCAACAAAAAGTTTACCCATCTTTTTATGTATTGTATCATCTAATCCTCCATTAGGTTGCATTGACCCTCTTGTTGGATTAACAATAACATCACATATTTCTTCACTTAGATCACCTTGTCGAATAGTTACTTGCAAAGAACCATTAGCAAATTTAAAAACGACATTTCTATCATCACGTTTTTCAATATTACTAAATAGGAAAAATCAAATAACATTTGAATTTCATAGAAGTAAAACTTACATAGCAGACATTGTTTCATACAAAAAAAAACCCAAATATTTTACACAAACAACGATGATCTACTTCCTAATTTATTATGAATGTCAAGTGCAAACTTTTGTTTGTGATTTTCTTTTGCAATGACGTCTGCTATAATACCTGAATAAAACCTTTTTCTTTTCTTTTTCTGTTATTGTCGCCGATAGTAATTTGAACTGACACGTGTATGACTCTGCTTGCCTCGTCGAGTCTTTATCACATAGAAAATATCTGTTGCATAAAAAAAACAAAGAACATAAAAAATGTCATGCATTTTATTTCTATTACTGTTTGTTTTTCTTTCCAAAAATGACAAAAACAACAAAATGTAAACACTATTAATTCTAACATAGTGTCGTTATTGATTCATGTCGATAACAATGAAATTCAAATTCTATATCAATACGAAAAACTACTATGAGAATACAACAAAGAAATATACAACATGTGCCTATTACAAATAACCAAAATGAATAACCATAATTAATAATATTTTGAAGATATTCAAAACCAAAAAATAATATTAATGTAATCAATGCTAATATACCTTTAAAAAGAAAATAAAAGAATTTGATTTTTTCAATCAAACCAAAATGATAATTTAAAAACAACATTACATACCAGTAAGAATATTAGTAATTAATAAATAATTAACTATACGTTTCGAAAGATGTATGTTATAAAAAGATCTTTCTGTATTAATACATTGAGTAAGAAGTAAAGAAATGATAGCAATGAATATACAACCAAATGATATGCCAATTAATACTTTGTGATAATCTATTATTAAAAAAAAAACGAAGAAAATTTAAACAGTATTGATTGAGCTGTTCTTCTCAACATTAATAATGATTATTTATTGATAAAAGATACTAAAGAATTCAAAGAGTATTTAGCAATCTCTGCTTTCGATAGTATATCTTTTTTTATTATTATCTAAAACCTATTCTATTTACAAGAAAAACATAAACATTATTGAAGAATATTTATTTAGCAATCGAATGATATATAAATTTCATTAACTTACTTAATAATTCAGGTCCATTAATTGATGAATTATACCATTTGTATAAATGATTAAAACATATATAAACATTGCGATTTATATAATTATTACTACTTGTTAAATTGTTCATAATTAAATATTGATCTACATTACGTGAACGATAGAATCGATGACAATTTATAAGAATTCCCTTTGAATATTCATTGATAATACCAGTACTATCTTCATTAACATAAACAAGCCATCTTGATGTACTTATACCCAATATTAGAAGTGTAATTGAAATAATTAAGAGTATAAAATGAAATAATAATATACAATTCATGATTTAAAGAATATACTACTAGTCTGCAGTCTTTGCCTGTTAATAAATGACCAGTAAAGAAATAGACATGTTTGTGATAAGAATAGACAAAAAGTCTAAGTGAGCAGACAACAACGGTTGAACGTTCTATACATAGTTGAAGTACATGTAATTCAAAACTTTTCTTTTTTCTCTTTTTCTGTGTGTAGATAAAGACATTCATACCATTACACACATAAGTACCTTTCTCATTCTCTCTCTCTCTTTGAATATAAATGCAATTGCATGCTGTTGCCAAAAAACCTCGATCAATTATCTAATGGACAGACATATCTGTTGTTTCTTAATGTTCTCAAAATTATTATATATTTTCATTTGCGGAATATTACAATCTAATCACTACTAGTAAGATTAATATTTTTTATCGTTATATATTTATGAATTGTTTTCATTCAATAATGAAATGATCAACTAATAAAAATTGTACAAGTGAACTTGTATTTACTTTATACTTCTAATATTGTACAATTTTTCTTCATTCATTTATCGTAGATGATGACATTGGATTACCATTGATATTTTTGATGCATTATCAATGATCATTACAAATGGAGCAAAAAAAAACAACAGCTGATATGAAAAATTATCTGTAATATCATGCTATATTTTTATTTGTTGAGCCTAAAATCCATGCGATATTAAATTTAAAACGAAAGGAATACAATCACAATAACTAGATTTGAAATAACGATAGTATATCAGTTTCATTATCAATCTTTTTTTAAATTCACTGAACAAGTTCCATTACTTGGTTCAAATTCATAAAAACTTGCTGTGCCCTTGTAACCTTTTTTAATTGTATCAATACATTTTTCAACTGATGATTTTTTTACTAATGTTACCGTACAACCACCTAAATAAAGCAAATTAATAGTAAATAGATAATAAAATTTTTAAAAAAAAATCAAAATTATTTACCAAATCCACCACCAGTCATTCGTGAACCATATACACCATCAACAGAACGTGCTAATTCAACAAGTTGATCTAATTCTTCACATGATACTTCAAAATCATCACGAAGTGATTCATGACTATCATACATAAGTCGACCAAATTCATTATAATCATTATTAATTAAAGCTTTTGCACCAGCTTCTGTACGTTTTATTTCAGTTATAGCATGACGTGCACGTTTATAAATTACAGATGACATCTTATCACGAGCTTTTTCAAGTTCTTCAATTGATGATACTTCACGTAGTTTCTTATGACCTAAATTTAAATAAATAATATTTTACTGTCGAAATATATCTTAGATGAATATTAAATGTCGAATAATTCTAATTTTACCTAAAATATTAGCTGCTTCTTGACAATGTTGAACACGTTGAGCATATGTACCAGCAACTAATTCATGTTTTACATTTGAATTGACAACTAAAACACATACATCTTTATTTTTCATAGGAATTGATTGTGATGTATTATTTCGACAATCAATTAATAAAGCATGATCAGCTTCTGCTATGCATGCTGTATATTGATCCATAATTCCACATGGTACTTGTGCATATGTTTGTTCTGCTTTACAACATAATAATGCTTTATTGACTTTTGATAATGGTTGAAAATTAAATGAAGAATATTGATAAAGTAATTCCAGGAATGTGCACATAGCTACTTCAACTGATGCTGATGAACTAAGACCACCACCGATGGGTACAGATGTTGCAATAATTATTCTAAATGATTGTCTTTTTTCTGGTTTAGTACGTTCTAAGAAAAGAGCAAGTACACCAACAACATAATTAGCCCATTTAGGTGATTCAAATCGTGAAATTTCTTTTGTTAAATCAACTTCAATTGATTTTGGCTCATCTACATCATCTTTTAAAATAAAACAAAAAATAAATAAATAAATAAATCATTCTTAATAGTAGATCTAAGATTTTGATCAATAAGAATAATGCAAGACAAAGGATAGCAAAATCAAAACTATTCTTGCAAGACAAAAGAAGACAATCATTCGAAGCATTCCATTTTTCAATCATAAATATTTACTCGATAATGTTTGAATATAACATTTATTATTATTTGTTGAATTATCTAATGCTTTTCCAATAATCATTGTACCAAGTGGTATAGCCATAGGAAAAACGAAACCATCATTATAATCAACATGTTCACCAATTAAATTAACTCGTCCAGGTGCAAATGCACATATCGTTGGTTCATCATTAGGAAATTCTTTTCGATAAGATTCCAGAAGATTATCTTTAAATTCTTTCAGTGTTGTTGTCTTTTCCGATGCCATGATATTGCTAAATAAAAACTAGGTCAAGGACTAAAGGTATTTATCTGTCGAGCCGTGATCTAGTGAATAGAAGTCAAAATGCACTTTCACATACACACACCTTTGATTGGATAAATTTTTTACATAATGTCCGTTGAATTTTCCTATTTATTAATCTAAAAATCGTTTTGGACGAAACGCAACTTTTTCTGAGAAATGTGCAAAATTCGAGAAACTTGCAGCGTCCTCTATCAAGGTATGTTGTACTTTTTTCAGAAACAGTTGCTTTTCACCCAAAATGATTTTTAGATTAATAAATAGAAAAACTCAATGGATATTCTGTAAAAAATTCATCCAATTAAAGTTGTGTATATGTCAAAGTGCATTGTGACTTCGATTCATCAGACCACGAATCATTTTTATACGATAACGCTTTTTGTATTGAAGAGTTTTTTTTGGTGCTATATAAAGACCAATAAAAAAAAATTGCTTGTTTTATATGATAATTTGATTTTTGAGAATATTTCAAACAGTAAAACTTCAATGGCAACAAATTCTGCTTCATCAAATATTCCAAAAAAATCAATAAAAGATTTTAAATTTATTAAAGAAATTGGTAATGGTTCATATTCAACAGTAGGAAGAAGGAAAAAATTTTTATTTTTTTATTTATTTATTATCATTTAGGTATCTTTTGCTATTGAAACAGCAACAAATCGTGAATTAGCTAGTATGAATTTTTTCTTATTTTTTTTGCATACTAAATTTTTATTTTATTTTAGTTAAAGCAGTTGATAAAGACTTAATAAAACGATTGAAAAAAATTCCAGAAGTTTTTCGAGAAAAAGAAATTCTAGCACGATTAAATGATTGTCCTTATGCAATTAAACTTTATTGTACATTTCAAAATGAACGTACTCTTTGTAAGTATTTTTCTTTGGACAAAAAAAAAAAAAAAACAATCGATGATTGTAATGATTAAATTTTATTTTCAATAGTCTTTATAGATGAGTTGTATTAATGTTCTTTTTTTTTTTTTGTTTAGATTTTGGTCTTACATATTGTTCGAATGGTGATCTTCTTCAATATATAACTGATGCAGATCATTTTGAAGAAGAAATTGTACGATTCTATGCTGCTGAACTTATTGAAGCACTTGAACAGTTACATATTCGACATATAATTCATCGAGATTTAAAAGTAAAATAAAAAATAATTTTTTATTTTAATTTTGAATCGATTGTTTTCTTTTTTATTTTAACAGCCAGAAAATATTCTTTTGACTGATGATATGCATATTCAATTAGCTGATTTTGGTTCTGCTGTTATTATTGATAATAATGAAATATCTCAAATAGATAATAATAATAGCCATAATGAAGAGAACAAATCCATACAACGAAAAAATTCATTTGTTGGTACAGCTCAATTTGTAGCACCAGAAATTCTTCAACATGGTCCCATTCATATTGGGTTTGTTAGAATTCTAAAACATTATTTAATTAAGAAAATACTTTTAGATCTGATTTTTGGTCACTTGGTTGCATTATTTATCAAATGGTTACTGGTAAACATTTATTTTTTGGCTAGTAAGTAAATTTTTATATGATAAGCTAAAAAAACAAAAACAAAATTTCTTTGAATCAGTTTAGTCATGAATATGATATTTTCAATGCTGTTGCTCGTGTTGCTTATAAATTACCTGATGATTTTCCAAAAATCATTGCTGATCTTATACAAAACCTTGTTGTAAGTATTCTCATGTCATTTTCACTAGTATATCGCTGAGCATTTGTTATAGAGAAATATCCTATTGGCGAAATTACGAGCACCCTTGTTTCGCACTACCGCCAATATACTGCAGCACTCATAAGAATGGAATAATAGTTGACTAAATAAATAAAAAATACGAGTATTGAAGAATTATTTTAGATGCAATATAAATAAATTTTGAAATAGTTTTCCCCAGACCGGAATTGAGTTCGAGATTAAAAAGAAAAACTTGGTTCTGCACATCTCTATTGCCAGTAGGGAGTTGTGAGTCATTCTAGATCCAGACCCATTCACGTCTAACCTCTTATTTTTTGTTGAACCCTGTTACATATTTTTCTGGACCCGCTGCTTCCCAGATGAGAAATACAGCAACAAGATATAACTGTACATTGAGTTTTTTTCTGAGAGTAGCAAATAAATAGCGAAAACTTCGACCCTTCACTTGTTCATGTATACGAAGAGTGCCAGATATTCATGAAAAAAACCTCGGATCCGAATCCACAAAAACGTGGACCTGCAGCTCCCTAATTGCCGATGACCTTTGTTCGATTCGAATCACATGAGTTTCTTTGCTTTTTTAATGCTTGTTTTCTATCTAGCGTTTTGAACCGACGGAACGACTTGGTAGTGAAGAAACAGGTGGAATTGACAAATTGAAAGCACATCCATTTTTTAGTACAGCATCTTATGATACTAAATGGGGTAATTTATTGAATCAACAATCACCACTTGAAGCTAAAATGAAACTTAATTCACGACCAAAGATAGATAATGATAAAGTAGAAAAATAATAAAAAAGAAAATTGTTTTTTAGAACTCTTTAAAAATAAAGAGTTTAACTAATTGTGCTATTGACTGGTAATAATTATATTAAATGGAATCTATCTTTTAGTTCAAGATTTATTTTCTTTTATTACGATAAGTAAGAAAATTTCACTAAATATTTAATATAATTTTTAAAAGCAAGTAAATAAATAGAAATGAATAATATATGGTTGATGTATTTAGTTAATTTTTTTTATCTTTGGTTTGTGTTTAATATCTATTTATTTGTTTTCTTCTACTTTTATTTTTTGTGTTTTTATAAAATTATTTTCAATACCAGACGACACATTAATTTGAACGAATTACTTTGAAGAAGCAACAAGTTTGTTGTTTTTTTTTATATGTATATTTTATTCTAATATTACACAAAATAAAAATAATACTGCAATTGAATGACGAATAAAAGTACTAGAGAAAAAAATAAGTATTTGCTCAATTTTTAATTCAATGAACAAGATAGAAAATGTTGATTAATGTTTCTATTCAATTACTAATATCTAATAAAAACAAGAAGCTCTTCACGATAATTTTCTGTTTGTAAATGTTAAGAACTGCCTTGACCTGTCCGAAATGATCTATAATTTTTTATTATTCATCAAGAAATATACTTTTGACAAACAATTTCTTTTAGGATCTGGACAATCTCTTTCATATATAGATTGTTGTACCAGAGACGAGATCAGTCGATTTATGTACTGAAACTTTATTTTATAGTGAACTCTAGTAAATGACTAACTTCTATCATGAGTCCGAGGAACTTGAACGATTATTGGAAAACGTTCAATATGCGACTTTTCATTAAAAGAAAACATGAATATAATAGAATATTGATACATTGAATTAGATGTCATTACTTAATTCATTATCTCCTTCCATATTTTATTCTCAAGAAAAGCATAGAATTTCCTTATTAATAAAAGTGATTTAATTGTAAGAATATTATTTGTTTCTAATTCGATGATCAATCTCTTTATCTATAATGACTGTTTAGTTTAAAATTCATGATATAAATCAGAGATGGTACTCTTTGTAGTATTTTGACGATCGGTACCAGTAAATATCGCTTTGACCCTTAAATACCGATCTAAAATCCGTACCAATATTCATTCCATTTCTGAGTTGTATTCCTTATATTAGTAGTAGTTCGAACTATATCAGCGCTAGTTCCGAAGTTTAGATGAACTGTTTAAAACAACTGCGATGAATGATTAGTTCTTAGAAAACTGCCCATTATTATCCTTTTTTCGATACACTACCAACCTTTTTTTTGAACAGATCAGTTTATTGGAAAAGAACGTCTTCAATGTGTTTGATATCGGAAATGATATGTAACTATGATAGTTTTAGTAGTAGCTGCGAGTAACAACATAAATAAAAGTTATTATTTCGATATTAAAGATCAATATAACTATTTTAATGTACAATTGATTCACGTTTATACAAGTGTATCGATAGAATTTTATTACTTACAAAAAAATACTCGAGACAAGTATATCTTTCTCTCTGATTTCGACGAATGAATTAATCTATTGTTTGAAAAAGTCTTATTGAACTAAAACTGAGATAGTAATAATACATTATATTTGCTTTTCATGCTGTTTGATTTTTACAATGAAACTTCGTTGTTAATCGGGTCGTTTATCTGTCGATTTTGTCAATACTATGTTCGAATTCGAGATGTTTATATGACTGGTCACTATGATAGGTGAAGTTGAATTATAAAATTAAGTAAATAGGATATGATTATTTTGTAAAAACAATGTTGATAGGATACAGATGTGTATATTATATCTAGATAGCTATATACAGTACATATTTTTCCAGAAGAAATCATATTTATCTTTCACTTGCAAACTATATAAAAATGATTTAAGTAAAATTTCGTTAGATAATAAAATTTGAGAATGATTTAACATATAAGACCAACACAATGTGTTAGTATAATTTGATTTTATATTAAATTTTCATCTAACTCTAGAATTGTTTCAATTAGTATACGATCGTTAAAGAAATCAATTATAATTAATCATCTTACTTTATATGAAATAGAAGGAAAAGAAAAACAGAGAGAGAGAGAGAGAGAAAGGATGTATCAATATTCTACTTTTTCTTCTCTTTGTTCATAATTCACCATACATTAGGATATATAAGTGTATTGTTTTTTTCTATATACTGCTAAGATGATGAATTTTATATTTAAAGTTCATTACTTCAATTCTTTCTTTTATGATTCCATTCAATCATCATATGCTGAAGATGTAAGATATCTGCATGTACATATTGAATGATAGAGGATTGTGTTGTTTAAATACAGAATAAAATATATTGATGAACTTGAATGAAAAAAGAAATGTAGGGATCTTTATTATCATTATATGTATATATATTTGTAAATGTTATTCAAAAAGATTCATGAATATTCTTTTATGAAACTATTGCATGTACAAACAAATACAAAAATATATCTATTATTTTTTATTTCTTAAATATAATTGAATAATAAATTAAAATCTGTTTATTTTTAATTAAAAAAAGAAGTAGAAATGAATATCACTTTCAAAGTTACCTATATTCATCAATAGAAAGCAATATTTTAATATTTACAACATATTTGTTCAATTTTATGTAACTTAAGCGGCGTATTATATGATAAAATCCCTTCACATAATGATTCAGATCAAAAAATACGGAAAAATGAAGAATTGATGAATAAAACTAAAATAAAAATTTCTATTAGAAGAATAAACAAAACAAAAGATTATTTGATAAAATTAAAAAATGTATTATTTTATACTACTACAAAAAGAACTAGATGTCAGTTTTGACGATCATACTATGTAAAATATTATATATGAAAAGATTTTAGCATATAAATATATTCAATTAGAATCGTTATTTATCTTTATTTAAAATAGAATTCTTTATATAAAATATATTAATTAATAATATTTGAGTTACTAAATGATTAGCAATAAATATTTTGACAATTCTATATGATAAAAAAAAAAGCATTGACAATTCTATATGATAAAAAGCAGTTGAATTAATACCTAAGAATAACATTTTCATCTGTTGGATAATAACGATGTGTTGTCGTAGTTCTAACAACATTATTTGTCGGTAAATAAGTAGATTTATATGTTGGTTGTTGTTTTGTACCATTTCGATTTGTAATATAACGTTCATTATTGACTATTTGTCGATATCGATTTTGTCTTGAATCATCTTCATCATCACCATCATTATCAAGATCTCGCCATGATCTATAAAGTGGATAATGAAGATTTTCAGCTGAATATATTCGTTGCATTGAACTTGTTGGTCGAGGAATATCATCATAATCATATCTTCGACGATGATGACGATTTACATGTTCATGTGGTCGATAATGATATGGATAATTATTTGATATTGGTGATTGAATTCGATTATGTTTAATTATTGTTCTATTTGGTATTGTTGTCGTTGGTAATCTAGATAAAAGATGTCCATTATCATTATAATAAGATTCACGTTTAAGTGGTGCTTCAATTCGTAATTGACCATTTTCCAAATATGATATAACTTTTGGTAAATCAACTGTATTTGGTAATGAAATTTTACGTGAAAATTTTTTTGATATATGTTCTTGTGTTGGATCTGTTGATCTTGCTCGTTTAGTTTTACCTTGAACAATTAAGTTTTGATTTTGAATAAATACATCAAGTTCATCAGCTGTATAACCATGACAATCAATAAGATATTCAAGTTTTTGATTATTACCCAAAGATTTTCTACTAGATTTAGTATCATTAAATATAAGTTGAGAAGTACCTGTTGATGATGTTAATATATCAGATAAACGAGGAATTTCAATAATTAAACGATTTGTATATTGTTCAATATAAGTTGTTAAATGATCAACATCAGCATCGTATGGAATTGTAAATGTTTGAATAGCTATATTATCTTTATTATTTGATAAAAGATTATCATATTTAAATTTATGTCGACGACGTGCAGTAACAATTAAACGACCACGTTGAGATTTATCAATTGTATAATCACATTTTTTTGATCCAAATGGACATTCAACAACAATACGTGCTACCGACGAAGGTGTTACATCAGTTGTTGGTAATGGTGATTGCCAACCAGATGCATGTACATTATCCAATTGTCGACGAGAAACATAATGTGTATCATCCGAATCTGAATAGTATCGACTCATAAGTAAAAAAGAACTAACTTATTCTTTAAACTATCAAAAAGAATAACATAGTAATATCAATAGTTTCACCTACGCTCATTGAAAATACATTTGAAAGTATTATTAGACAACGATTGGATTCTATATATATATTTATCGTCATTATATTGCAACTTAAAAAGCCAATAGAACTTTCTTCGGATACATTTTTGTATGCTTCTTTTTGCTAATCGATTCTTTTATAGACAAAAAAAAATGAATCATAACACGCAAGACTATTTTCTTTCGATCAACATTTTTCGTTTTTGTGTTTTACATATTATAACACATATGAATGATGATTTCTTTCATTGCTTATATATAGTTATGTTCACACAAGAATTTTATTATCTTAAAATTAGAGAAAATATCGAATCTTTCTATAGTCTAACAATATAAACATAATTCGATTTATTATAGTAAAAATCTTTTATGGAATTAAATTATCAAACTTGACGAAGCTATGTTTTTATATATATATAAAGTAAAACTTCTCTATAGTGAATGCTCTTCAAACTTTTTGAAAGTGACTTTATTGTCATGTTTTCGAAGAAATTTTCATGGTTTTTCTTTTTTGGAAAAATTGTGTTGTCACTTGCATTAGTATTGAATCGAACATTTTTACATTAACCAGCATGTCAGATGGCATTAACTGTCTTCATCCGTTATGTACTTTAAAATAGTGCACTGAAATGTATTAAAAATATGCAATTGTAATATGACTTTTTCTGAATTTAAATGAAAAAATCCATTTCTAAAATTTCTTTTCTCAAAATATGATTTCCAGACAGGAAAATTGAAATAACTCTCATCTGGTTTAAGATATAACCAATATTGTTTTTTTATTTTAATGGTCTTAATGCAAGTAAACTTTTAGCCGTCCAGCTTTTTATATTGGATTCCTGACCTGAGAAAAGTGGAATTTTGTGTTGTGAGAATGATCTCTTTTTGTGTTTATTTGACCATCATCTCTATTAAAATGCTCATTAGAACCACTTATTCGTGTAACTTTCAGTCCAAATGATCCATTCTAAGTGGTAAATCAATCCCGAGAGGAACCCTTAATTGATAAAATATTCTTGTCTACAATTCAAAAAAAAAACAGATACATTATATTTTATATGTTAATTCCATTTAGAACTTATTTAATAAAACGACACATATAGAGAGGATTTAACATGAATGTACAATTACATGAAATTTTTTTTTTTTTGTCGTGGATAATATTATTTTATTTTATTATTTAAGAATGTTTTACAGAAATTTTACGCATTGATATTCATAATGCTGATTATCGTATCATCCATTACCCCAACCACGTCGTGTTCGGTCTAAAATAAGAATATAATAATTAGTTTAATTTATAAAATTTTTGAAAATATAAATTGAATTATTTTTTTTTAAAGTTTTTTTATTATATATTGAATAGTTCTATAAATTAAAAAATTTATATTATCTATTTCATTTTCAAATGATAATGATGGTATATAAAATTTTGTTTTTAATGTAATTAAATTTTTTATTGATGTTTGATTAAGAAATAAAAGAATAAGTTGAAAAACTTGAATTAATTGAATTTTTTCATCTGAAGAATATTCAAATGATTGTTCATTTGAATTTATATCATAAAATGATAATAATAATTGAAAAAGATCTGATATTAATTGAATATCACGATGTTTATCTTCATTATTAATTAAATAAATAAGATATTGAATAACTAAATGCCAATCAAGTTCATAGATAATTGTTTTAATAAGAAGTGTTTTAAAAAAATAACGTAATTCATTCGAAAGAAATTGTTCATTTATCATTTGTTTTCTTTTTTTTTTTATTGTTTAAAAAAAATTTTTAAAAGAAACAAACTACGCGCTTAGATAGTTTTCTTACCATCAAAAAATGAAAGGTTTTGTTGCCATGTGTCGTCATTTATATCTGTCATTTCAGGTTCAATCATTCTTAATATTGGATATTTTTGTCGGTATCGATTATCTATATAACTTGGATATGCCATTGTTACAGTTGAAAATGATAAAAGTAAACCAAAGAAAAGAAATGTATAGTAGAAATTCATTGTTGTACTGATAATTTAGTTTGTCAAGTTACTGTTATATGGCAATGATTGACGCTTAAATAAATCTTTTTTTAATATACATTTCTATTTTTTGTTTCATTTATATATATATATATATATATGATAAAGTGGATTAACAGTCAGGCTTTGATTATTATTTTTTTCTTACACCTACATGCGCCTACTTCATCATAATGCTATTTAACAAGACTCACGGCCTATCAGAAAAACTTCTTAATATTGTTATTAAGAGTAATTAAATTAGTATTTATGATTATCATAGATTTTTTTTTATTTTTACTTAAATATTTTTAAGAAATTCTTAGCTGATCAATACAAAATTTGATGTACAAAATGTTGATTGTTTGAGTAATAATACTAATACGAAAGTTAAAAAAAACGTTATCTTCCCATTGCATCGATACTCGCTTAATTAGCTTATTTCATCAATAAATTTTTTTTTTCTGAACAATTTCAGAATTTTATTGAAAAAAATCTTGTCTTAGAGAGAAAGATATAGACCAAACATCGTAATGATGCTATTTGACATTTATAAAACGTAAGTTACTATCAGTAGAAAAGTCAGAAAAACAATTTCGATTAGCAAGTGTTGATATTGATCTTGTCTATTTCCATACGCAAATTTGACGACTGGCATCACCTATTTGAAAAAACCTGTCGTAATTCTTTTGTAAGCGTAAGATACTTATCATGACATAATATTGACATACGTATTAAATCTTTCATGATCAATGGTTGTTCATTTGTATTAATATTTTATCGAATGCATGACATCAGAATGGTGATGTGCTCTCTTTCTTTCTTAGAGCTCTTAGTTATTCTGTCAAGAATTGCATGTTTTTTAAAATGAAAAACATTGATTCACACATATTGAACAAATATTTGTTTAAAAGAAAAGCGAATAAAATTTATTGGCTGAACAAAATCTCATGAAAACAAAAGAGAAAAAATTTAATTAAACAAACTGTTCTCTACGAATAGTAATTTTAATAATATATATATATAATTATGATCATTGTTCACTATTAATGTTATTAATATTCATTTTATGAAGTGCATCATCCATATCTATCCGTTGTAATGAAATTGATGGTATTCGAATTTTATTGATTAATAATGACGGTACAGTTGATGACGTACTTATACTTTTAGATGAACTGAGATATTTACTTATCCAAGACAGAAATTTATCAGGTGTATTATTATTTTTAGATGATAAATCTGATGCCAATGATAAACTAGATCCAGTAACAGCTGTTGATGATGCATTAGGTAAAAGATGTGATAAAATTTGTCGGCATAATTTATAAAGTAATTGACTATGTGCAATTTGAGAGATCGTCGTTGTATCTATAGATGATGGTAGTTCAGATGTATTAATAGATGAAGTAATCATTTGATCTGATGTATAAGATGCATCATAATCATCCATTGTTATATCGACACTCGAAGAAGTATAATCAATAGGTTCCGTTGTAGTTATAACAATGGATTCTGTATTATTATCTATTTGTTCAATTAAATTTTCTGTTGTTATATCATCAGTGGTATTATTATTATCATCATCCAACCATTGAATCGATGTTGAGGTTATGATTGTATCTAATTGTTCAGTAGCATTAATTGTTTCTTGATCTTCAATAAGATTTAAAGAAGTAGATTGAATTTGTTCGATTTCTGCTGTTGTCATATTTTCTATAATCATAGGAGTAGATGTCATATCGATTTCAAAATTTGTTAAGAATGTAGTTGAATAATCGAATGGAAGAGATTCTTCAGTATTCATTTCTACTGTTGATATAGTATTTATATCGGGAAAAATTTTTTCAAGTTTAATATCTTGTGCTTGTATAACATGTTCTGTTTCAGTTAATTCATTTTGATGAGTTATAAAATTAGACTCTATGAGTGTTGATGTCATTGGCATTGAAGTAGTATGAGTCGATTCATTTGTATTTAATAAACCAATAAAATCTATATGTTCAGTTTCTGAACTAATTGATGATCTCTGTTTTACTTTTGCACGATATGCTTCTTTTAACATATTAAATAGAATTCTTGTATGTGTAGGTAAAAGTGCTATAATGATATAATAATTAAAAAAAAATATTTCTTTTTTTTAATACGTACATGACCATATATTAGGAATATTTTTCGATACATGTTCTTCACATGTTGGACCCATATAATCAAAATAACAACGACATTCAAATGATGTTAAACTTTTTTCAATACATAAACCTCGATTACCACATGGATTTTCTTGACAAATACCTGATATAAATATACGTAAAAATTATAATTCAATAAGAGACAAACAAAAATGTTTAGTGATTTATACCAAGTTGTTTTTCACATAAAGCTCCACTATAATTAATTGGACATATACAAAGATAAGTATATGCTGATCCAAAACATGAACCTCCATTCATACATGGCATGGACCAACAAAGATTGCCTTTAAATAAATATATATATATATAATTTTTCTTTTTGAAAACATGAATTATTTTCACATTCTTGGTTTTTTTCTCACCTGTAAGCCAATAAGCATTGGCAACGTAGATAATTTTATTGACTACGATAAGTAGCCACCAGATTGATGTTGCTTTCATAATGGCACTTTCACAACAATGTGATCGATCATTGTTATCGATGGCAGGCGTATGTTACCATCATTGAGTATTGTTCGACAACAGACAAAACAAAATTACACACGTTCAGATCAAATAACATATGCTTTTATACGATTCATTGATGTTTTACTGAATGAATATGCCTGTTTACTATATGTGTGTGAACAATACATGCATACTTACATACGTCGGGACGGGAACGGAACGAATAAATGCATACGACAGTCAGTTCGGATTAGTTTATTTAGAGATCGTGTAATGAGGTATAAAAGTAATAGATGATCCCTCCTCTATCAGTCTGCTCCAATAATGAGTGCAAAAAAGAGTGAAAGAGAAAGACTGAATAGGCATAAAATAAAAATAAGACAATACAGAGGTGGAATCAATAGTATCGTGTGTCTTCTTTTTTTCTTCTTTTTTGAAGAATTTAGTTCGTATTTGATCAATAGATGTATCTCTATTTCATCATCTTTTATGATCAATTACATAATATGGTTTAGATTAAATACACTTATATTATCGTTAGTGATGACACAATAATTTATAGCTTGAATAAACTCTTCTCGTTGAACAACAGATAAAACAACGACGAGAGTAGAAAAAATAATCATCATACGAATGAAAAAAATAAATAAATCTTTTATTACGATGCGAAGCACTATCGCAAGTTTTTTTCTTTCTCGACACATAACTCTAAATCACTATTTTGTGTCCCAATGATCTTAAGAGTAGATCTGAATTTGATAGAAAGACGATCGATGAATATAATAAAGGAAACAAACATTTTTGTAGTGTTTATTAATAAAGACTTTTTATTTTGATATTAAGAGAACAACATCTATATTTTAGAAGGAAAGAAAAAATTTTTGCCGAAGAATATTCGAGAAATTTTATAATGGATAGATATAAACGGATAATAGACTAATTGGTACAAAATTAACAAATAAAGAAAAAAAACTTTTAATAAATCTGTTAGATATAAATAAAGAATACACTAAATATAAGAGAATAGGAAATATTATAAAACATCTACAAATAAATATGTACAGTATTAGCCAATGCTATTGCATATAGATCATAACAAAAACCATCAGTTACTGCTGAAATAATCTCGTGCCATAAAATAGCAAGACAACAAAGTCATTGTTCATTTTTTAAGAGCAAAGAAAAACTAAATTCATCTGAATATTATTCAAACATATGTTTAACGAATTGATAAATACTTCCTTTTTAACAATGGAAGAAAATAACATTCAGAAATATTAATAATTAAATCGATATAAAAGTACATTACGATTATTGTTATATAATGCTAGAAAATCATTGTTTGAGGGGAAAAATCTAGTTGATTAATAATTTGATTCTTTATTGTAAATTCATGAAAATTTTCATAAATAGTAAATACTGGAATGTGAACTCTATAGAAAATTGATTATGTAAGAGAAAATAAGGACTTTCTCGAGTATATGAATATCTCAATCTGTATTGCTCCAAATATTACACATAGAATCGTACCTGTAAGAATAAAGTATGGACATCTCTATCCATCACTGTCATTTGAAGTTAAAGAAAAAAAACCTAAGATCAAATTACATCTATGACTACTGATCTGACTGGATTTTTGTTAAAATATTCAAGTTTTAAAAAAAGAAAACACACATTTCACTGTTACTCTTTTTTAGCTAACTGATAATATGAAGGATTCTACAAGTATGTTGTATACAGAAAGATTCAAATCAAAAAATCATGTAATGTACAATTTAACGTGAGTAAACAGCAATTTCCAAGTTAATACTTGAAATGCAAAAATGGAGTAAAATAAGGATGATTATGACTGTAGCCATGGGTTTTGATAAGAAGCTAAGTAAGGAAGAAAATATCTAACATCGTCATTAGTAGTTAAAATCTTAAAAAATTCATGGTAATGACTTAAGACTTGACTTGATTAGAGCAGAGACTTAACTTAGTAGAACTTGAAATTTTGTACTTTGAATCGAGAGCGGAGATAGAGATGTGAGTAAGGTCGGCACTTTAACTTTAAAATCACTTTAATAAAGTAGCTCAAATCATAGTTAAAGTAACCATACTTTAGACTTTAACTTTAAAAAAATCAAAATTAAAGTATAGATTCTTTCAACATTTAGATTTTATTCATAATAATCATGTTGATCAGTTGTTAAGATTTGACCAAGACTTTTGAGGTCGACGAATCCGAATTTGTGATTAGTTTTTCAAAATTCGTGATACTGATTCCTCTTCATAAATAATCGTCATTTCCTTGAAATACTCTTCTCCTATCGAGAAATCAAAGTGTTAAATTTTCAAAAACCGATCACAGATTTGGATTTCTGGATTCCGAAAATCCTGACAGTTGATCAACATGATTACCATGAATAAAATCCAAATGTGGTAAGAATCTATACTTTAACATCGTTTTTATTAAGTTATAGTTTAAAGTAAAGTTAAAGTGCCACTCCTATTCACGAAAGAATCACCCTGATAATATTCTCATGTAAAGGGTATAGGTGGATAGAATATCCTCTGTCACGCATATAACAATAACCTTCGTCCTACCACTCCACAATAGATTAACTCCACTGATGTCCTTTACTATGCTCAATAGCAACATAGGAGTCAATGCACGATAGGCACGACCAACCGTGCTCAATCGATCTCACCGATTTCGATGAAACATTGCTCATATGTAGCCCTAAGTGAGATAGGAAAATGCTAAAAATTTCAGCTTCTAAAACCGCTCCCTTCTTGAGATATTAAGATCACAATGGAGGCACCTTCAGGTAAAAATTGAGTGTAACCAAATCGATACTCATACATTGTGTACTTCACCATTATTCAACCATAATGTTTTTGTTTATGAAACTTTGTGAGTATATACTACCATACATACTCTATATACTGACACACTTAAAATCACGTTTTGATGTGTTAATGAATATAGAGAAATTTCACAAGTCTCAGATATACTCCTTATCTTGTGGCAAGCATTTCTATTCCTTATGAGCGAGTTATGAGTTTCCGCTTTGGAACTAAATACTACTACTCCCTTTCTATTGGTGGCAATTTTCAAAACCTTGGATATTTGAATTTGGTCCGAACAAAACTTTAATTCAATATAAATATATTGATTTTTCCTACTTGAAAATGTATTTCTCTTGAGCAAACTTTTTCTTTTCTCATATGTTCTTGTGTCCAAAGAACATAGTTGAGTACTACGTATCAGCCTCTACTGATTGAATAATCATTAAGTTAAAAAAAAACGAGATTAAAGATATGAAAACGAATGAATACGTTCGGAAAATCATTTCACATAAAAGATAAATGATAATTTTTTTTTTCTATTATTTCAACAATTTTTTTATTTTACAAAAGCAATTGTAACATATAGATTCTCATGATTTCTTTGTTATAGAGTACATTATTAATGTCCAAGAATATCTCGATATACAAGATGAAATCATATGGTTACATAATATAAATCATAAAAGAAGCCAATAACATGATCTCTTATGATATGAGAGATTTTCATTCTCCAAAACTTTTTAAACGAAAATGATCGCTTTTCATTAAATTGTACGAACATTATTTAATAAAACTTATTATTCCTATTGTCATTAAAATACTATAAATAGAAATAACAATAGTGAAGATTTATAATTAGAATTGGATTAGTAAAATTTCAAAGAAGATCACGACTGATTTCTTCAATTATCTTTAAAACTTTTAATTGTACATTGTTATGCAATGCAGATATGACAATATTTTTGCGCTTTCACGACATCTTTATGATCGTTCAATTATTGGACTCATTGTTTAACGTATTATGTTGCTATCCGACATTCTGGATGTTGGGATAAATCGTTATATACTAGAAGATTTCAGTGTATATTTTTGTACTAATTCGCTTTATGAAATTTTTTCTCTTGACAATCTACTCTCTTACTATTGTTGAAAGAATAATGGAAACGAACAACTAGATTTTATATTAAGTATTATATTTATATTTCATTGATGAACAGCTAATTAGAGGTGTTGCATTAACATTAGTAAGAGCATTAACTTAATGCTAACAGCGATGCTGTTGACGATGATTCTAACATAAAGGTATTACAAATCGAAATTATTTATGTATCACTAGAACAGGCTAGTATCTTTGATTAGCTTCAATACTTTTATGTTGCAATTTTATACAAAAGAGTTGCAGCTACTAAAGATTAAAACAATATCTTGTATTAACTTGTTAGTATCTATAGTAGTTTTGTTTTAGAAATGTAACGTAAAAGTATTAAAGGTAATCAGGAATACTAGCCAGTTCTAACGATAAGTAAATGATTTCAATTTGTAATACCTTCATGTTATAATCATATTCAACAGTATCGCTATTAACATGAAATTAATGCTAATACTGATACTCAGCTGACACCTCTGCAGCTAATTAATTTGAATACCAAAATATTACGTTCCATTAAGTAGTAGAAACTTCATCGTTCATAATCAGTTCTTGTCTAAAGCTCAACAAATATTCATTAACGAAAGAATATACTTTATTTAACCTGTTGTCAGTGTTCCTTTTTTTTTCATAGAATTCGAAGTTATATATATAGATACATATATATCAGCTTGTTTATCATTTTTTAATAGATGATAATAACGAAAATCAAATTGAAGATGATTTTGATTTGCATATTGACCGTAACGAATGTTGTTTATGGTCAATGGCAAGATGTTGCAGTGAGAAAATATTCAAAGATAACGTCCAATCGTATATATTATTTTGGTTTTGTTTAATACAAAAGAATAGTAATTTTGTACAGCTAAAATAGATTGGACAAGACATTATGTTTGCATTGATAAGTTATAAACTAATATAACGGATTATTTGACATCCATGAAAGTTATTAATGAACAACAACAATATTTATATTCTATCACCGGAAAAGAAGTTTTATTCAAACGTTTATCACATATTATTGATATCGAACAATCACATTTGAAAATCTGTCCTACTCACCGTTTTACTTATGGGACATGTTGATCAATTCCTAAAAGCTGTGTGCATGGAAAAGAAGATGGTAGTATTTGGCAGTTGCATTGTGATCGTGTTGCTCCAATGCATGTGCATCAACATCATCTTCTCATTCATTAAGTGATCATAGCATCCTTAATCAAGACACATTACAAGATGATATAGACGAAGAAGATGAAATAGCTTTTGAACAAAAAGAGCTACTTGATACATTAACAAAAAAGATTTTAACATCATAATAAAAAAATTTGATTAAGTTGTTTTCATGTTGTCAAATCCAGAGTTCTAAACATTATCTACCTATAAGGCTAATTGCTTTTGAAGTTGAAACTTAAACAGGAGTGAAAATAACTTTTAGCTCTCGGATTTCGCCTACTTTCCATCTTACTATTAAACTCTATGAGACACGTTAGGCTTTCACACAATCCACTTGGAAAAGTATATGTATATTTGTTGCCCATGCCAGACTACCAAAATATATTGATGTATTGGTATTTGCTGATATTAGTATTATGATATTCCTGATAAACTCTATTCATTGACTTTTTCGTCATTATTCGTCAATCAAATTGGAGAATGTTTTCTTACACAGATCGTGTGGAAGCTCCAAGTATAGGCTGAGTAAAAAATTCTGGGACACTCAAGAATGACTTCCCAAAATTCTCTCCATTAGTAAATTGGTCATAGCTCCGTCTAGACTTTCTAGAAAATAGACTCATTATATACCATTCGATGCGCCTTAAAATTCTCTACAAGATAGTACATTTGGTTTCTCAATTCTGAATATGTCATCTTATCTGACAGGGTCCTTTAATTCGAATAAAATATAAAATTTTGGGAAACCATTCTTGAATGTCCCAGAGTTTTTTGCCCAGCCTATACGATATATTGTTTTTGTAGCGAAAGAGGCTCAATAAAATACTAAGTCGAAGATACGGCGCGAACTTCTCTGTTCATTCTAAGATACAAAATTATCAAACACAAAAAATGCATGAAAGTACTACTAGTTTTCATAATTGGTCAAGCAATTGTAGTTTCATGAACTAACCTCAAGATAATTCTTTCTATTGGCTTAAATTGAATTTCACTCCTTGTTTTCTTTTAACATCGTACATTCACTCTACTACTTATGCAGAATATTGATCTTGAAAAAGTACCTAAACTACGCCACAAAGCTATACTTTGCAATAGCATTAGTGGTGATCTAAGGAAAACTAAGGTTTCTTGAACATACTACTAATCCAATTCTAATTATAAATCTTCACTATTGTTATTTCTATTTATAGTATTTTAATGACAATAGGAATAATAAGTTTTATTAAATAATGTTCGTACAATTTAATGAAAAGCGATCATTTTCGTTTAAAAAGTTTTGGAGAATGAAAATCTCTCATATCATAAGAGATCATGTTATTGGCTTCTTTTATGATTTATATTATATAATCATATGATTTCATCTTGTATATCGAGATATTCTTGGACATTAATAATGTACTCTATAACAAAGAAATCATGAGAATCTATATGTTACAATTGCTTTTGTAAAATAAAAAAGTTGTTGAAATAATAGAAAAAAAAAATTATCATTTTCTTTTTTGTGAAATGATTTTCCGAACATATTCATTCGTTTTCATATCTTTAATCTCGTTTTTTTTTAACTTAATGATTATTCAATCAGTAGAGGCTGATACGTAGTACTCAACTATGTTCTTTGGATACAAGAACATATGAGAAAAGAAAAAGTTTGCTCAAGAGAAATACATTTTCAAGTAGGAAAAATCAATATATTTATATTGAATTAAAGTTTTGTTCGGACCAAATTCAAATATCCAAGGTTTTGAAAATTGCCACCAATAGAAAGGGAGTAGTAGTATTTAGTTCCAAAGCGGAAACTCATAACTCGCTCATAAGGAATAGAAATGCTTGCCACAAGATAAGGAGTACATCTGAGACTTGTGAAATTTCTCTATATTCATTAACACATCAAAACGTGATTTTAAGTGTGTCAGCATATAGAGTATGTATGGTAGTATATACTCACAAAGTTTCATAAACAAAAACATTATGGTTGAATAATGGTGAAGTACACAATGTATGAGTATCGATTTGGTTACACTCAATTTTTACCTGAAGGTGCCTCCATTGTGATCTTAATATCTCAAGAAGGGAGCGGTTTTAGAAGCTGAAATTCTTAGCATTTTCCTATCTCACTTAGGGCTACATATGAGCATTGTTTCATCGAAATCGGTGAGATCGATTGAGCACGTGTTCTGTTAAATTGATCGTCCCTTTCGTGCAATGACTCATATGTATCCAATATATGAAGAAAGTCATAATTATTCTATCAAAAATGACATTTTAATGGCACTGGATAATGCATAGAGTTGAATCTATTTCCGAAATAGTTACATTTGAAACTTGTACAATTTTCAGTTTCTTCTTGTGCATCTAGTTATGACGTGATACGCCAATACCATTGCTTTTTATTTTTTATCAAACACTATTTGTTCTATATTATCTGTTGTTCTTGTAATAGGAACATGAGGAGATGGTCGAAATGAACCCATCATAAAAGGTAAATGTACTTCATATCGTGGATACATCAAAATAAGTACAATAACAACAAATAAAATCAAAAGAATAATAATTGGTCATAAAACCATAGGTACATGACGCATAGTACCAGCAAAAAATTGTGATAAACTTTCACCTATTGTGCCAAGTGGTGTAACAAATAATTGAGCAAAAGTCATTGATAAAGCCTTTTAGAAAAAAAAATCAAAAAAAAATAATTGATATTATTTTACAAATAGACGAGAAGTTCACTTGAATAGGTGTAACTTGTGAATGTGGTGTAGCACGTAATGCTTTGTAATATTCCAAACATTCATCAGTTGGTAATTGCACGAAACGACCAAAATAAGATTTAACAGAATCCCATACACCCATTGCATGACCTTGACAATGTTTTGGTATTTTTTTCATAAGCACCTGATCGACTTTTGCTTGTGCTTCCTATAGAATAAATCGATTTCATTCATTTTTATTCAATTTAAATTAATAAACAAACCTGATAAAGTGTATACCAATTTTGTATAACAGAAACAATAAATGTGATTATAAAAAAAGTTGTAAGCCATCGACCACGACGAAGATGAATACGAATACTGATAAAACTTATTGCTCCAATTGCAATCAGAACCAAAACACTCTAGAATATAATAGTGGCATAACCAGGATTTTGATAATAAATGAGGAGTAAGGCTTAGATAGCCGAGATCTGTCTGGTGGGAGCAAGAACATCAACCTCTCTTAATTATAGCACTAATGTCCGCCGAAGAATTAAAGAGGAGTAGATGTAATCTCAAAAATTTGACAACGACAACAGCTAATGACCTGCAGCTTTCAGCAATCGAATGTAGAGAGCTCTGAACATTTTTTCGTCTGATACTATATAAAATAAAATTATTTTAAAGCCCATCATTTTCGTAAACAACTTAAAAACATACATGAAAACAGTGTTCAGTTTCAAAGAAATTTCTATCAAAAATTAGAAAATTTGCTAAAAATCAATTAAATACCTACACGATTTTGTTTACTCAACAATGAGATGTAAGAAGATAATCATCTCAATCATATCTTGAACTATAGATCTGAATCACATGTCCAAATCAAAATTATATCGAAATGGAACACAGGTTTGACGAATTTTGTTTTGAATATTTTGCGAAGATGATAGATTTTAAACTAATTTTACCTTATAGAGTGTCAGACAAAAAGACATCCGAAGTTCTCCTATTTCATTTACTGAAAACCACAGATCTCTAGCTATTGCTGTTGACAATTTATTGAGCTTACAGCCACTATTCTGTAATTCTGACGCGGACATTAGTTTCGAATATCGAATAAAATGAAATCATAATCCAATAGAAATACTCAAATTTGAATTTGATGAAAAAAAAAAGATCTATGAATGAATAAAGCTACAAACGTTGAATAATCCAAAAAGAAAACTAAAGAACATTTAGTTAAAGATTATTTTTCTTCAAATTAAACTCATTTAAGTTATAAACTCCTTGGTGCATCTCTTAAAGACTAATAAGAGAATATTCGCAAATAGACATGAAAGTCGATGTATTAATCTGCAACGGCAGAGAACACAAGTTGTCGATGCTTTTATTATACTCATAGTTCTGTGACATTTTGAAATGAAAAAAAAAACGGAGAAGACAATGATAGAAATCTTAATGATAAGAAACTGTACAAGAACATCTATGAAAGCTGCTTCTCGATATGGAAAATTTTCAAAAAATCTAGTATCAATTCTTATGTCATTTCTAGATCGTTAGAAAATTGGCGGCAACACAGGAGGAAAGCTTTCTAATTGACCTAGCTTATTGTTGCGTAGAAACTGCAAATTTACAGCGTCTTTGAATGAATGCCGTACTTCTCCTCAAGAACACTAGGAAAAAAAATTTTCAAGCTTTGACTTAAAACTTTATACGAAAGTGTATCTTAATGAAAATAGTTTATTGTGAAAGTTTCAGGTTTTTTTTGATTTGCTTCTATCCTGAAACAAAGATATTGAATCTACCGTTAAATAGAAGCGATGTTAAAGATACAATTTTACCATAGCTGTATCTTAAGATAGAAACAATGACAAGATTTGAAACATAGGTAATATAAAATTCAAAGAATGCATATTCAATTTTGATAATGTTATTCGTTGTTTTTTCTATATAGAATCAAATTTTTGGCTTGTTATTACAAGTAACGCGACGCAAACGTCGCTAACCCTCTACTGAAAGGATGTGATTTCCTTGAACATATGGTACTCACGAAGAAGAATATCACAGAACTAATGTGCTGCTATGCATCTATAAAAAGATAAATAGTTCTCGTCACCATGGTCCGCTTGCTAATTGATTGGATTTGATTTAACCATCGTGGAGTGTGAATGTGTGTGGGTGTGGGGTGTGTGTATGGATGTGGGGTGTGGGTGTGGGCGTGTGTCTTCACTTCATCCATACTCAGACACACACCCATCCACCCACCCACATCCCACGATGGTTAAATCAAATCCAATCAATTAGCAAGCGGGTCATGGTGACGAGAACTATTTATCTTTTTATAGATGCATAGCAGCACATTAGTTCTGTGATCTTCTTCTTCGTGAGTACCATATTTTCAAGGAAATCACATCCTTTCAGTAGAGGGTTAACGACGTTTGTGTCGCGTTACTTGTTTTTTTGAAAAAACTCATCAAATTTAAAGAGTTTAAACTAGTTGTGATAAAGAACATTCTCGAATTCTATCATTTTGAAAATAATCTGGGCAGAGGAACCTTAATATAGTTGAAGAATCAAAAAATAGATGTTTTGAAAAATATTAAGCGCATTGCAACACTAGATTTCTCTAGAGCGAGCACCCTTAAATGATTCGCTAGACATTTAAATGTTGTACCATCATCAGGAGCAGACCTTGAATTTCAGTTGCTTATCCTTGATTAAGTCTGATCAAGCTTATTACAGATATATGGTCATATTCAGTTGTTTGGGATGTCATATTTTCTTATCCTGAACTCTGACTTTCCTGAATAAAACGGAGAGACAAACATTTATGGCTTTTTAAGTGGGATATGTATTGCTATATGACTGTTTCTTTAAGAAAACAAAATTAGATGTCGTTTAGTTGTTTCTGTTTGTTCAGCGAGTTCAGTAGCATGACCAAGTGGCGAACACCCTAAATCAGAATAACTTGAAAAAAACATCTTTTTTTCAAAATTATAGGATTCCGCACAGCTTCTTGAAACCTTTAGGACGGCACAACTACATCTATATTTGCTTACAACACAACAAGCAAATAACGCTCTGCTAGCATTCACAAATCCTTTACTGGATAGGCTATATTACGTCAAATGTCTAATAAGGAATTATTTTGGTTCAAAAATCAGATCATTTGACAATTTCTAAAGGTGCCTCAACTTTCACTTATTATACTTACGATAAGCCTTCTAAATCAACATCTAGTCGTTCGTCGGCCTCTCTCCGGTCGGCCACTCACGGCTAGCCGTTTCCACATATGGTTTATTTTTCTGCCTACCATTTGTCACATTAGTACTCTGATGCGCAGAAAAAATAGTTTACTCATGACGTATCGATACGTAATCAAAAATTTCCAACATTTAAATAATGTTGTGTACTTTTCGTCATAGTTTTCAACTTATTTTTATTTTAACAAAATGATATGTTGCCGAATTTGTTTTCAAATCAGCATTAGTTAAGTTCTTCTGAGAATCTCCCTAAACCGCTTCAGACACATTTCAAAATTATACTCTAAAATAACCTTCTAAGTCAACGTCTAGTCGGTCGGCCACTCACGACTAGCCGTGCCCATATTTAACGCCATTAAATTATTCGATATTATTTCAGGTTTGAAGCAGATAGATGCGTCTCGTTTGAATTCCTTTCGAAAATTTACTGAGCATATGTTAATACCCTCGTCAAGAAGAAACTAAAAAAAAGAGACCTATTTATAAATTGCAACAAATAGAGTACATTACATTGTCGCGTAGAAAAGATTTTCGTCTATTTTAAATGTTATTTTGCATTTGATGCCTACGAAGAGTCAATAAGTGGACTTCAAGCGACCACTTCGTTTTCTACATATCTATGTAGAAATCTTACTCAAAGACCTGGCGTTTTGTAATCAACAAGGAAAAATACTTATATTAAAAGCAATCTCGAGCATGGATTCGCGACCCTCGACTATCCTTAAGTCAAGCTTAAAATAACAAGGAATTCATTAAAAGAACCTTAAAAAAGGTCAAAAAGGCTTCGATTAACTTCGAATTCGCATTTTTCATGCTCGATAATAATCAGCCAAGTTTTATAGAAAACAATGATACATTAATTTATCACTAATTAATAACTGCCAATATTGGAAAGCTGACCTCAGATTTGTATTCCTCATAGCCGATTCTCTTTAGTAGAGTTTTACTGGAGATAGTTAATATTACTGATTATTACTTATTTGATTAAAAACAATTGACGAAGGAGGGTCACCAACTGATCAATCGCTTTTGAGTCGGAACTATGTGTATCATATAGGTCCTAATGAGCTATGAATACTCTGAAAAGAGTTCGGGCCGCTAGCTTACTACTATCGAGATACTGCATTTTTATGATATTGTTAAGCAGAATGCCGTGGTCCCCCTCAGGAACACCAGCAAAACTGAGTTTTCAATTTCGACTTGAAATTTGGCACAGAAATAGGTCTCAATCATTAGTACCTAGAGGATGCACATAGTTCCGATTCAAAAGCGATTGATCAGTTGGTGACCCTCCCTCGTGAGTTTTGACTTATCGATCTTCGATTATCTTGGATTAAACTGATTAAGAAAAGTATAAAACTAATCCCTAATTGTTTATTAACTTGTTATTAAAATCACATTTGATTCAGATCCGATATATTTTCCTTCGATTACTTTTCGTAGAGCTTTTTCTAGACTATCAGAAGCTTTTGATATCAATCTAGCCGACACCGTTTCCCCATTGGCTAGGGTGCACAAACATACAGACAGACTTTAGAATCAGCCACATATGTAGAACTGCAAACTTATTTTATGTTATATCATCTCTCTCCTTCAAACCAAGAAAAAACCATTATCTTTAAAAAAACCTTCCGCAGCCAAAAACTCATTTCAAAAACTTTTACGAAAACTCGTGACGGATTCAGATTTCCCCATCTTTGAAGTCTTTGGTCAAACCTTATAGCAAACAGTTTTTTCTGTAAAATACTTTTTCCTTTCTAAAAAGGTCTATCTCAAAAACTAATCACAGATTTAGATTCGTCGACCTCGAAGACGTTTGTTCAAACTTTATAAAAATAAATATGGAAACCTCGTATTTAAATCCGAGAGTTATGTGTACTTCAAAAAGTGAATGAGACAGATAAATCGTTCTAGAATATGGGGATATAAATGATCCTGGCAAACCTTATCTATAAACACTTGATTTCTATTGGCTACTGCTCAACCAATAGGATTTGGGGATGAACACAGAGAAGATTTGAACTCTTCACCTTGATTTCCCCTAAGAAAGTCGTTTTTCCTATAACTTGATTTCTATTGGTTTCTGTTCAACCAATGGGATGTCGAGGCGAATCGAGCACAGATTCGAGTTCTCCACCCCAGAAAACCTCGAACTATCATCTCTGTGATCGAAAGATAGAGCTCTATTTGTGGATCAATTAGAACGTGGACAAAAAACAGAACCGAATTCCGTTTAATTATCTTTGCAATAGCTGAGTTGACTTTCTTGTTTCCTTATGTTTTATATACCACTTTTTAGCTCGTGAAATTCTCTATCGAATGGTATATAATAGTTGGAGTTTTATTTGACTATGATAGGAAAAGTTTTTTACGAAAGCGGAGATAGGTCGATCTTCGGATAGGGAAAAATGACTATTTTTGCAATAATTCACCAATGGCTCGGCCAATCATTCTCATCTTCGAACTCGACCGAGATATTGTTGAGACTAAGCTGTGTAGAAAATTTCATCGTGATCGGACTCTCCTTTCAAAAGTTATCGTGTAAACGGACGGCCGGCCGGCCGGACACACTGACCGATTCTAGAGCGTACTCACTTTTTGAGTACACAAAAACGCCTTTTTTTATCAAAGAAAATGTCTTTTTTTATCAAAAAAAATGATTTCAAACAATTTTCAAAACTAATACTACCAATCGATTCGTCGACCTCGAGAACGCTTGATCAAACTTTATAAGAAAAACACTTTTTTGCTAAAAAAACCTCTCTTTTTCGTAAAAAACATCTATTTGAAAAAATTTTCAAAAAATAATGTCACCATTCGATTCCTAGACTCCAAAAATCCATGGTAAAGATTTTAAAGATTTGTGAGCCACTAGTCCAGTTGATATACGCATCTCTAATTTCTGATTGGTTAGGACAGACATGCGGCCAGACGGACAGACAAACTTTAAGGATATTTAACCCCGTATAACCCTTTCTTTCAGAAGAGGGAACAAGCGTAAACCATAACACCTGATAATAAATAAAAAAGAAATCTGATTGGCTGATTTGCCTCTCCCCTGAAATCCCATTGGTTGAAGCCACAATGTCAAAAAACCCTATTAGTCGAAATCTCGATCCAAAATAACCTTATTGGATCAAATTGCAGGGCAAAGAAATCTGATTGGCTGATTTGCCCCCCCCCCCCTCAAATCGTGTTGGTTGAAACCGCAATGTCAAAAAAACTTATTGGTCAAAATTCCGACCAAAAATAACCGTACTGGGTCAAGTTACAGGCCAAAGAAATCTGCTTGGCTTGGACGGACAGACAGACAAATTTTAAGCATTTTAGCCGGCGTACTTAAACGCCCTATAACCCTTTCTTTCAGAAAAGGGAATTATCCTACACAATGACACAAATACCAACGTCTTACGGTTCTCTAAGAACTTTTCTCGAAGATATCGTATTCTAATTACTACTAATCTAATCACTTATACAATTTTGAAAAAGTAACACCAGATTCGAGTCCCTTGACCTAAAAAACCCTTCGGTCAACTCTTATTAAAAAAGATTGTTTAGAGGGTGGACTTCTTAGCCTCAAAAAATAGTACAAAAAATTGTTTTTTAAAAACTGATCTCAGATTCGTGTTCCTCGGCTCCGAAAACCCTTCGGTCAACCCTTATAAAATAATTTTACTTTGCAAAAAATTGGTCCTTTGTCCCAAAAAATAGTAGAAAAAATTTTTTTTTAAAACTGACCTCAGATTCGTGTTCCTTGACCCCGAAAACCCTTCGGTCAACCCTTATAAAATAATTTTATTTTGCAAAAAATTGGTCCTTTGTCCCAAAAAATGGTACAACAAATTTTTTTTAAAAACTAACCTCAGATTCGTGTTCCTCGACCCCGGAAACTCTTCGATCAACCCTTATAAAAAAATTTTATTTTGCAAAAAATTGGTCTTTTGTCCCAAAAAATAGTAACAACAAATTTTTTCTAAAAACTAACCTCAGATTCGTGTTCTTTGACCCCGAAAACCCTTCGGTCAACCCTTATTAAAAAATTTTGTTTTGCAAAAAATTGGTCCTTTGTCCCAAAAAATAGTGGAAAAAAAAATTTTTTTTAAACTGACCTCAGATTCGTGTTCCTTGACCCCGAAAACCCTTCGGTCAACCCTTATAAAATAATTTTATTTTGCAAAAAATTGGTCCTTTGTCCCAAAAAATGGTACAAATTTTTTTTTTAAAAACTAACCTCAGATTCGTGTTCCTCGGCCTCAGTTACTCTAGTATGAATGTTTTCTGAGGTAAAATACAGAGAATTTTCAAGGATAACATTTTGCTGCAATCTGATTGGATTAGGCAAACAAACGAACAAACAAACTTTAAGCATTTTTAACGACCCTATAACCCTTTTTTTCAGAAAAGGGAAAAAGGTTTTAAAGTGACACGTTTATTACTGATACATAATTATTTATCATGTATTTTCAAAAGTCACGATTTACTGGACAACATTTCATTGTGAAAACTAATTTTTTTAATTTTTTTCTTCGACTTTTGTGAAATAAAAAATTTTATCCTCTTGTTACCGATGAAGATTCATTTATTAGTTGTCTTCAACATCAATATTCTATTTATCCTTTCGTCTCCCGAAGTTATTCTAAAATAAAATAATTTCTTTGCCATTATCTGACAATACGAGGAAGCTAATATTCTTAGTCATATCACTTGGTTTATGAAATCGACATGATTGAACTGGTTTGGCAGTATTTTATATATTATTTATTTATTTAATTATCTATCTAAATATATAAATTTATATTCTTCGCGTACTAAAATGCATTACAAGGTCTAGAAAGCTAGTTTTCAGCGTAAAAATGATCCTAAACAGCAGTTTTTAGTTGATGAAACTCTTATTCCCTAGGAGCTTGTGTGAACATGCAATCACTGAAGAGGACTGATTTCATTCGTTTCCACTTATTCTAAGTGACTTCTGATGGCTCACCATGATTTTTAGTGATTCCATTGGTTGATTCCGAATGACTCTATTGATTCTACTTGATGGGTGTGTGGGTGTGGGTTTGGCTGGGGTGTGGGTGTAACCAGTACATCGTCTGCGGAAATTGCGCGCAGAACCTTTCTTTTCTTCGAGCTTGTGATCAGCAAGTTTGCACTTCGAATGGCTTACTGATTGTTGTCTTGGACTGAGTTTCAGCTTCTCAAATGGCATACTAAAGAGCGAGGATTACATAAAACTTTCACGAAACTTCAGAGCGATCATGTTGTTTGTCACAGTATAGCTTTCTTTATAAAGTCACATCATTATCATCAGTAACTTCTTCAGAACTTTGAAGATTGAAATTGAATTTTAGCAAAATTATCATTTGAACCACTCCTATAACTTAGTAAGCTACTGTTGCTTTCTATATTGATTTCTTCAAATAGCATATAAATCATCATAGAATTTTAGTTGTTTTGATACACGCAAGAGGAAAGAACCTCAGATAATACTATGAAAAGAAAAAAACATCGAAATTTCGTTTCGTTATCTCATTGTTACTATGCGATACATAGAAGAAAGAAAAACAAACTTGGAAGTAATTATTCAATTCAATATGATAGAATATCGCCTATGTCATGATATAAACAAGAAAAAGAAAAACAACTGGCAGCATATACTGAAAATGTCAACTAGAGCATTTATCGAAAAGTGAATCCACACGAAAATGAATCTGTTAAAGCTATTTTCTAGGAAAACCGAATCGCCTCGAAAAGGTTAAATTAAATAAATAGCAAAAATATTTTTTCGTTTATATTCAAAAATACTTAGAATAGATGGGAAGGCTAGAAGTAATTCTATTTTCTCTCATTCATTATACAAATAATTTAACGAAAGATTTAAATAATATAATATCCGACTTCATACACACACGTAGACATTCAAAAATGGTGAACAATTCTGTTTTCTAATCAAAGGTAAAAGAAATCAAAATAAAATCTATTATACTCGCAACAGAAAAAGGCAAGGATGTCACATTAATATTATAGAACGATGTTTTCTTTCTCTTGTTCCGTCTTTTTTTCTCTATCAACTACAGACTCATGTTTGTACAAGCATATATTCTTTAGTTATTCACCTGGAGTAATGTTTTGTGTTGTTTACGTCGTTTCATCTCTTAATAATATGTATCTTGAATAACTTCGCAATTCAGTGATTGTTAGGAAGGGCATGATATTTTATAAAATGTTTTATTAATTTTACTCTTCCTTTTTCATTTTATTTTTATTACAACGTTTCGAAGGGCACTTCCTTCTTCGTCAGGTGTTATAAACAAATGAATTAAATTTACAAAATGAGAACACACGTATATATACAAATACAAGAAATTGAACTTTTTTTTAATATTTATCCTTTTTTTATAATATTCAATAGTGGAACGGACGACAATGAAGAAAATGGGTGATATATTTTCTTTCCGGTCCAGTGTTATTGTCTTGTTGTCGTCCTTTCCACTATTGAATATTATAAAAAAAGGACAAATATAAAAAAAAAAAGTTCAATTTCTTGTATTTGTATATGTCACAGTTGACATGGGAATTCAGTTGAGTTTGGAATACATGTTAATACTATGAGTCACACGATAATTAATGTTTGTTTACTATT